ATAGCTTCGGGTTTGCGTCTCAGGAACGGACATGTTTCAGGAACGCATTTCGGGAACGCATTTTCTTAGGAACGGATTTCGGGAACGCATTTTTTACGCTTTTATGCCTCATCCGGGATAGCACGATCTTTGCCCAAGCGGTTTTCATAAGGTTAACATCACCATGCATGGAACCGTTAACACGGTCTCGAACGTCACCGTGTAACACCGACCTTCGGTTTTTGAGTTGCGACGTGGTGTCACGAAAAATGTGTTGCGACCAATGCAAGACCTTATGTTGAATATAACATGGTACACAATAGAGGAAAGAAGCCCGAAAAGCCAGGCATCAAATGTGGACTAATGTGGACACCAAATCAAGCATTACCACGAATCTTAGCCCATGATCGCAGGGGCTTCCTGGGGCGTAGGTGTGCGCGTAGCATCACCACATGCTCGCGCAGGAGCTTGCTCGCCATCAAAAGCTTGCTGGCGAACATGACATCCGCTGCCGCGGGCAGCGACAACTTGCTAACAGGTCATGGAACCGCAAGACTTCTTGTGATGCCGTCTGTGGTCTCAACTCATGTCAACACCTCGCTTGCCACAGAAAGCTAGTTGCGAAAATGACATGTCACACAACCTAGAGCCTCATGTAGACGTCACTGTGCTGGCAGCCCGTTGGGTGTACGGACGAAATCGCACGCATGCAGTCGATCACAACATCGATCTGCGATTCTTGAAGATCAGCTGACACAAAACATGGGTGACAGAGGGAACACGGGATTCGACGGGACCCTCGCGCCAGCAAAATCTCTTGGTGCAAGAATCATCTCACATCCTCTCGGTTGCACAATATACTGTCATAATTTGACAATGCGAAACGCCGTGGCATGGTGAGCCAGCCCCAAATGCGAAATCGCACACAAGCCCCCAATAGCCGTACACAGTTGGTGACGATATCAGCAACAGCTGCTCCGCTTCCGCAAGCGATATCTGTTAACAAACTTCCGTAGACGCATAGCCAAAGCATCCAACGTGAGTCAAGTACAGCCATCGACACCAAAGAGCTGTTTCCGAAGTGGCTTCCCCAACCAAAGAGCTCGAGGCAAATGCCAATTCAAACGGCGCCGTGCAGCCTCGGGCAAGACTGGCAGCTTCTGTGTCTCCGAGCAAGGCCGCCTGCCGGGCGAATGTCGCCAAACCGCGCCGGGCGGCTACAGTTTCCCACAGTCTCTGGGACCATGGCTCGGTGGTCCGTGAGAAACGACATTACTGATGGTGGGCGAGCAACACTTGTGCCACCGACGCCGAGCTGCCTGTCAACCGATTGGACACCGCTCCGGGAGATTCGATGCTTCACAACCTCCTTAGTCCTTTCGTCCGCAACAGCGACATGGCGAAAACATCGCTCATGACCATGCAAGACTGCTGATTAGTAACAGAATGCAATGACATGCTGATGACCCGTGGCGGTGTTCCTAATGCTGAAAGTGCTTCATGCACAAAAATCTCCTGCTCCGGCTCGGTTGCAAAACCATCACTGCCGGGGGGGGTACGGGGGCACTGTGCTGTCTGCCCGATGCTTCCAACTTGTCGAATTGCATTGGCGAGTGTGTTTACCCACGCCGACGCATTCCCCCAGGCTGCAAGCAAAAAAGAAGCTACGTCGAACGGTGCTGCCGGCTGAGCTCAGGCTGATATTGAAAACATGTCACAAGGTCAAGACCCCGCGCAATTTACAAGGACACTTTGGCCGCTATGGCGTGACAAACACCTGCTCCTCGTCGATCGTCAGCACAATAACTTCTGATGGTTCCGCAAACCGACTACAGTACTTGCGCCAGGGAATGGCACCGCGAAGTAATGCTGCTTCGATGCTGTATCTGTGGTATGGATACGAAGGCCATGCTCGAAAGCATGCGTCAACAGGCGCGACTCTTGCACTAGGAGATGGAGTGTTTGGGTGCGACTTGTCAGCCCCGGACCTGCAACGCAGCAAGTAAGGAGAATAACTTGTTCATCCCAATTCGGCTCGGGTGTGGTCAAAATTTATATCCTTGTGCCATCATATGAGGAATTACTACATGCCTTCTCCGCATTCCTGTCATGGTCCTGTTGTCAATCCTTACATATATCCATACGCATATGTATGTATGTATGCATGTCTGTATGTCTGTATGTCTGTATGTATGTATATATATATATACACATATAATTTACATGTATTTGCTTGTTTGTTAGGTTAGCTCATTCACTCCGTATACGTCCATATTCAAGGCTTATCGAGCGACCCTCAACCTAGACCCAGCCAGCAACAAGCTCAAAATCCTCAACCCTTTTAACTTTCGCTTCAATCTTGTGGGCCCGAAAACACGCGATGTGATATAGGGACATTCGGCTTTGGGGCTGAAAGCTTAAGGTCGGGTTTACGTTTTGCAATAGATGACCGTGTGTATATATGTTAAATAGCCAAGACATAGACTTATTTATCTACAGTATGTGTCTGTGTGTAAATATATATTGATATAGTATATTCACGACGGTGCCCTCCTACCTGAACCGTAGTTTTTTGTAGTTTGAGCCTTTGGGGGCTCAGGGTTTCGTTGTTTCCCACTGGGCTTGAGCGTTGAAGCTTGGGCAAAACAGCGGGCCCGTTTCGCATTCTCGTTTCGTCTGGAAGGCTCAAAAGATTAACGGAATGGCTTTCATGTGCCCTCTGGGCCGGCTTCATTGTCGAATTGCAAAGACGCTCGCACGTTCTTGTTGCTTCTTGCTTACCTGTCCGCTGTGCTCATGCACGTGGCCCACAGCGAAGAACTCTTGCATGGCCGGTGGCACGGGAATAATCTTGGGTTTCAACGACCCTGACCCTGAGGTCACATTGCGTTGGCGTGGTTGCCGGAATCTGCTCCGAGCGCTTCTGAAGCGAGGTCCAGGTCACTGCGGTGGGCCTCGACCTGTCAGTCGACATCCTCTGCAAAGGCTGCGCTTGGAAAAATTGAGTTTTTTTGTGTCTGCACCTCATTCAAAAATCATTGACTGCTCTGGGGTATGACTCGGTAAGCACGGGGGTAGCAAAGTACACGCAGGCAGCCGCTCTTAGGCTGGGACAGATACAGCCAGGCCCAGTGTACGTCTCCAAGTGCAGCAGCCGTGCCACCCCAGTCGAAGCCACCCGAGACGGCGCGGAAAAGGGTATGCATGGAAGCGTGCAGCGTGCCCCAACTTTGACTCAACTCGGGGTTGAGAACACTCGTCGGATTATCCGCCATGTGGGCAACGCTGGCATCCTCACAGGCCGCTACAAGGAAACGGTTTGCTGCAAATAGCCAGCAAGCTGCAAGGGGCAGAATGCTGCTGGGTGGCAGTGAACATGATCGCAAAGACGTAGATGATGGCCACCTCAGCTAAGGCAGGGCTGTGTCCCATTGCTTGGCATCAGTGCCAAAAGACGCTGCTTACACTTTTGAGCTTCTCTGCTTCCCCTTCCTTTTGGCCTGTTAACCCGTTGGCTTTATGACCTTGGTTGGTAAGCTTTGCTTCGTCTCGACCTTGGACTTCAGGGGCTCGTGCCCGAGCCATCGATGATGAAAGCTGTCTGAACATGGTCGGCCGAGATGCAAGCAGCAGCATGGACCACGCAAGAGACCTCAGCAACTCCAGGTGCTGAGCCGCAGGATGCATTTTCGTAGTGGCAGCATTGCATCACAGCAGCTTCATCGTGTGCATAATGGATTCGACAAGCTGTCGCAAAGATCGCACAAATTTCATCACCTGCCACGTGGCTGTGCCACAGTTCGAGCTGCTATCAGCAGAACGCACGTGTGGCAGCCATGCCAAACATACGGCATCAGGCAACTGTCGCTGGGCCAGGCGAAGGCTACTGCAAGTCCGTGTGCAAAAAAGCATGAGACTTGCATGGTTCTGCGTCGCCCACGGCCTTCACCACTCTGATGACTCTGAAGACCTTCGAATCCAAAACAACGATCGAAGCTGGCAAAATCGGCCGTGTGATTCAAGCCCATGTCATGAAGGAGAGAGACTCGTGGAGAAGGGTGAATCCGATAATTCAGTCCAGAGGAAAACACGTTCTAGCTTCATCCGTCTCGCACGATGCGAGCTCAGCGAGTCGTCCTCGACAATGCGCTGTTGAACGAGCCGAGCCACACGTGTAATGCGCAGCACGCGCACGACCTTGCCAGCTCAAGGAGGCCAAGTCAGCCGTGGTACTTCAACGGTTGTCTGCTTTGTGAGCTTCAGTTGAGCCACCGCCAGGCTGCCACCACTGTTGTCGGCACCAGACTGCCAAATGACTCGGATAGCGAGCTGTACCATGGAGGGGCATACCTCAGACACGGTGAAATCTGCAGGAGTCTTCTCAACCCTCCCGCGCAGGACTCGCCCCGACTTCGAAGTACCTCACTGCAATAGGTCGGACAAGATTCAATGATCACGTCCTTAGCCGCTCGGGATCCGCTGCACATCAGACAGGAGGGAGACCCAAGCATGGAGAGGGAGAGAGCTCAGACCAGGCATCCAGATAGTTCCAGAACAGACCTTTGGGGCCCCAGAAAAAATCACCTGCCGTGGATCACAGCCGCCAAGGCAGCGCCGGCACTCGACATAAGATGCACGCTGTGGCCGTGCCTCCATACGCTGATAGGCGGACTAGCAGCTCTGCAAAGAAGACCAGCGTGTACAAGGTGTCCAAGACCTGAGGCCAATCGTCTACAAGTGGGTCTGTCTAGAATACCCCAGGATCCTTCGACCCAATTCACCACTGCCACGGAAAAGCTTTGCGGACGCAAAACAAAGAGATTCTGAGCTTCTCACGGAGAAGACTTCGGGAGACTGGTCCGCCGATGATTGTGCAACAACATCGGTTTCCACGCCAATGACGATGCAATTCGTGAAGATGACCAGGGCACAAAGGCCTTGTAGGCTCAAGAGAACAAGAGTCGCAGTTTAAGCACAACACGGGCATCGCATGGCTGCCAGAGGGCCCTCTCCCCACCAACTCTCCAAGGCAATCTGGAGCTGTTCACGCCAGTCCTTCTCCCGTGGCTGGATGCGACTGTGGCCGGAGGAGCGCAGGATGATCATACGCTCCGCTTTGGCCACTGCGTGTTCATACGCCTTTCGGTCTTCTTTGCTTTCGAAATCGGCATCTCCCTCCGACTTCTGACTCTGAAAGCTTACTGTGGAGTTGTTCCGTCTCTTGGGCGACGTGTGGCCATCGCTGATGGTGCCGTTCACCTCCAAGCTGGATCAGTTTCACAGAGCTAGTGAACAGAAAGCCATCTAATTCCTGTGCTTGAACTGGTGGGAATCCAAACACCACCTCGGCCACGCTCCCAGGAATGGATGCCGGCTCCTCTGCGACAGGTGGCGGTGCCTGTGCCCCGGATGGGCAAAATGATTTCCACATGGTGCGCGTGTCGCAAATCTACACATCCCATGCCATGAGCCGCCACGCCTCGTGCCAAGTCGCCCTGGCCACTAACTTGTTCGCGGGGGAGCCTCGTACGGCTGCTAAAGCACTATAAGCTACGAAAGAAGTCGATGCCATAATGTAAACCTGCTTCTTCTGGTGCCAGAGAGCTAGCAAGCCAGACAAACATCTTGCAGCCTGGAGGCCATTGAGAGTTTGCTCAGATTGCTCCACACCCTCCGCAATCTTTACAGAAGGTCTGGCCGGTGCAGAGTTGCATGCGCCATACCTCGGCTGGAGTTGCCGAGTCTCCGATGCTGCATCTCACCAACGTAACTTACGAGAGCCTGTCTTAGGACAGCCATGTACGATCATGTACGAGAATGTTGACTCAAACGAGCGAGTGTCTGCCGCACTGATTCAATTTACTCGTGAGCCTGTCCGAGCATGTCCATTTCGCCCTGTGCACCCGGCATGCACAATTTCTTTGGCGGCATGTGTCACGAGCAAGCTGACGACTCTTTTGTGCCCTGTCCGAACATCCTGGTCTCACACCAGAACTTGGACAGATCCTACTCTTGCATGCTGCTGCTTTATTTCGCCGTGGGTCATGTGCTCCGCGGCAGGGGCCGAGGGCTCCGGCTGCGCAACCTGTGGCTCAAATCAGTCATGGATTCGGGTGCATGAGGCCTGGGACAGAACCCCTGAATGGATGCAGTATGAACTGGCATGTAGCTCTGCAAGGGTACTTACCTGTACAACCTAACTATGCCGTTACTGTATGCGTCAGGGGGTGATTCACTTCGAACAAAGGATTCGGTCCAGAGTCCAGCTTGGCCAGGGGGCTGGATGCTGCCTCACCTCTTTCAGAATGGACTGCCACTGAGCCCTCTGAGCTTCGACGACGCTTTCCAGGTTTCTCACAGATTCTTGCCAGATGGAGGTCTGATTGTTCAGGCGCTCATCCAATCCTTGGAGGCAGGATGCTCTTGCCAAGCCAGTGCTCCGGCCCAAGCACCAGAAAAACACTTCGTTACAGCAAAGCAGGCAAGACCAAGCAACACAACTGGCGATGCCGGATGTGACGCAGTACAGCTCGACCCGGCACATGCCAAAGCAACACTCTGAACCTGCCTCTTTGCACTTGAGCCAAGTCTCTCTGGACGAGATCGTCGTCTCGCCGCTTCGCAGACGTACAAAGCTCGCTGCATTGAGCTTCGAGCTTGTCTTGGAGTCGAATCCAAACCTCGATGCGCAAAGCCGATGCGCTACAAAAGCATGCTTGATGCTTTCTGAGCTATCTTCCGTCATAGCCCAGTGGATTCTTCATGCGGGCCCGGAGTGGTGGCCGGCCAGCCCATGCCAGGCTGCCGCCATCATTTGCCGCCTAGCGGCAGAGGCCAAACGCTCGGCCAGAAGCGCTTCCGGGTCAGAACGCCCTGCTTTCGCTGGGCTCGCAGGTCTTTCCTTCTGTCGGTCAGATCGTCTCTATAAATGATCCGGCTAAGGATCTCAAAATGATTCGGAGTTCATGTCAAGTCAAAAGCCATGACTCGGGCGCTCCCAGCCAGTCAGCTCCTGGACTCGGGCACTTGTTCCTCGTTGGCCGCTCCTCCATGTCGACTAGCTCATGGCGCCACACAAGATGAAAGCGTTATAAAACCGAAGCCTAAGTATTGAAGCCAAGCCTGTACGTTTAAGAACCTGTGATTCCCTTTTCTTGTTCATTGCTGGCTTCCTGTCTAAATCTTCACACGCGTGAGGCCGACTGGCAAATGCTGATTCAGGAAATGGACGGCTTGCGGCGAGAACGCAGCGGCTGCCGACTCCACAAGAGCGCAACAACCAAGCTCACTTGCAGAAGCTTACAAGTAGCTGCCTGCATATGGAGGCTCCAATACTGCCCGCTGGGCGGGTGTCAAATCTTCCAGCATCTCCTGCACAAGCAGACACAACGCGACGCGGCTGTCCAGCGTTACTAAGAGTCCAAGGCAGTCCTGTGGCCATTGCGGCGCCTTGGCAACAGCGATCTCTTATGGCTTGCATGCCCTTGTTCCCACAACTCGAACGAAATCTCTTCAACTCTATAACGGTTGCCGTAAAGGTGCATAACTGCGGCCATAGGCTACGGTGGCCGGGGCAAAGCGGTACAACGCAATGCGCCTGGCCAGCACGATGGTAGCGTCTCACAGTCCGATTACACAGAACCCACAATTTCTACCATTATGCCGCAATTATGCCATGCTGGGAAGAACTGCTGCTTGATGTGTTGAGTGGCCTTTCATGCTCTGCAGTCCAGGCCATTGCGCCATGTACCGTTGCTTCTGAGAAGAAGACGACATCACCCGCACCTCCCAGCGCAGGAAGCCAGGCCAAGGAAGCTTCAACACAGTCGAAGAAACTCAGGCGCAGCTGGACGCTGATATTGCGTTGACAAACGCGACCGTGACACCGCCCTGAGCATGCCTTCTCATGCTCGCACGCTATTGCTGGCTGGATTACGGTTCGCGTGCGGAGAGTCTCGCTACTCGTGCTCCCGCGCTGGCAGCAAGTCCTTTCCCTAAGGCCGTGACGTGTCTCTGGCTGGTAGAAGTGCGCCTGCACAAGGTGTAAAAGAGGTGTTGTTTTCGGAATTTGGCATCCCTGAGCACCTGCACAGCATCTCATGCTTGCCGGACAAATACTTGTGTGCCATCTGAGCTACGAGCTACGGCAACTGTTAGCCCTTACCAGCACAGCACTACAAACTGGAAGATCCTTAGCTTCTTCGCCGCCGCCATGCAGGAACTCGTCCGGTACCGGGAAGTTGCTTTTGTGAGACCTGATACGGTCTGAAATCTGCACCTGCTAGATCGCACCCACACCGAGGTGCACACCCACGGATGACACAAAAGCCGCCATCACCTGGACCGTGGTCCACGAGCTGGACGGACCTAAATCGCCAGTTGAGAATTTACGAAAGACTTTTGCAACTTTTGCAGTAGGTTGTTGGGTTTGCTTTCAATGATAGACAGAAGGACAATGTGCGACTCTGCTAAAAAAAGTGGCAGTTCCACCGTTCCATCGCTACCATTTTAAAATTTAGTTTTGCAGATTCTGAATCATTGCTTCTTTCTCCAACTTCTCCTGGAGGACTCCTCCGGCCGACGATGCCTTCGCATTGCATGCTGTCTTGCCAGCTTGTGAGGCCGGAACATGCCGAGGAGAGAGTTGTAAAACTGACCTTGGGGCCGGGCTTCATAGGAACCGTCCTTTACATTGAGAGCAGAATGTGCTGGGCGAGATGCCATTCACGCATCGATACTGGAGAGTGGGGTTGAACCCGCCGTCCTGCCAAGGATGCAGAAACGCAACAAACATCACACGGAAGAGTCTGCTGGGCCAGGCCTGCGTCAGTGGCCCACCATGTAAGTGGAATCCTTCACTTCCCTTCTGGGAGGTTATAACTAGAGGCAGGTGGTCCATGCGGTAGCCAGATCCGCAAAGCTCCACCAAGTAAGGTAGCAGGTTCCTGAAGCTCGAACTGCAAGACTGCTCAGCTTTTAGGTCCCTGCGTATAAGTTTCAGGCGGGTGGGCAAGGACTTCCCGGAAGGGCTGGCAGTGAGGCTTTGGCCAGCCTCGGGGTGAAGAGGGAAAGGAAAAGCGATGTGCTTTGGGGCTCCGAGCCACTGACCCAGCATCCCACCAAGGTCGCGCCGCCCTGTGTGTCCGTCGCCGGATAGAGCGCTGCCGGATCCTGGGAAATTCCGCCATTCAGCTTGAAGAGCTGCAGAACAATGCGAGTTCGTGACAGAAGAGAAGGGCAAAGGGATCTGAGAATCGCAGTCGAGTTTCTGGTATTTCGAAGGTCGCCGTCCTCGCGCTCCTGCGTGCTGGGCCCTGGTGCCTCTTCTCAGTTACAATGATACACAGCCCGCGCACTCCTTGATCTCGCTGGAGTGGGCAGTAATTGCTTGGTTCATGCGGTCGATCAAGTCTTTCGAAAGGGCTCCACGAACGTGCAGGAACCCGTTCAGGTCAAAGAAAAACTTTTCCTCATCAGACATCCTCGCAGAAGGGCCGGTGGAAGCCATCCTTTGCGGGTCAAAAGCTACAGGAGACGAGAGACACACTGGGCGAGACTCAGGCTGCGACCTGATGACTCTGCTTGGCCTCCACAACCGGATTGACTCAATCGTATTTTCAATGGCGCTCATCACGTGCTATCCCGAGTGGCCTGCGCCCACTCGCAGGCAACGAGCTGGTCCGAAGCCAGATGCCGCTGAAGGGCCGCCCAAATTGGCGCATGCAGCCGACTGCCAAAAGCGACGTGCGACGCTGCGACATCCGATCGAAACTCAAGATGCAAATGATTATCCACTATCGCAGTCTGTCGGTTGCACCACCTCATGACCTCGTGCCCTGTGTCTTGCCACCGAGCTGCGCAAAGTGAGTGCCGATAGCAGCAAGGCTACTTGGGAGGTGATCCGCCGCATGCACACAAGTCCGAGGTGCACCGTCGACTCTCTTGTGGCTGAGCAGCTTCAACCTCTTGAGGCTCCTGGTGAAGACTTGGATTGTCCTGCTGGAAGCTGGTTCGATCTTGTGGATGGAAACGGCTGCGCGTTGATCCGTGCACGGAGGTCCATCGGTGAAGACTTCAGGCATCTCAGGTCGAGCTCTGAAGTGCAAGTCTCAGCTTTTCGGATCCATGCGTTGAGGCTTCGGACGCGGGGATATCGCCTCTCTTAAAATCGAGGACACTTCTCCCCAACCTCCCTGGTCTAGCCAAGCAAGCATGCCGATGAACTCATATCGCTGCTGCCAGATGAGGGGCTTCTCGGCTTAGCACATGGATCTGTGTAGTCAAAAATACTCCAGATGCAAGGCCCTCCCAGCTGTGCTTAAAGTTGCACGACAGCTTCCCGCAAGTGGTATCTGTCTGCTCGCCTTCGCCTAAAAGGCCTACGAGGCCTAGGCCTCCATAGGCCTACATAGGCCTACATAGCTATCTCTACCTCGGAGGTCCGGAGCTCTGGAGCTCAGGAGCTCTAGCCCTCGTCAGTCCACACGAAGCTGCCCGGGCCAGCAGGAATGTCTGACAGGGTGCTCAGACATGGCAGCCGCAGTAAGAATGGGGGTCGCTTAGCCGCTGGCCTTGCCGAAAGACTTCCAACATGTCCAGAGATTTTTGATACTCCTTGTCCTTCAGGAGCTTCTCCACTTCCCTGAAGGGGATGCCAACGAAAACTCCCTGTGCCCAAGGAGGTGGGTCATGCACGGGCACGCGACTCAGAGCCCAGCTTGGCATCCGCCTGAAGCTTTCGCGAGTACTTGTCAGGTGCCTGGCCACAGCATGTCATCCGTGCAACCGCGTGCAGGACAGCAGGACAGGTGCCACGGGTGAGAAGAGGCATGGAAGGTGAGAGTGCTGACTTCTGTACCTCATCCAAGCGCTGAATGCTGCCATAGGAATCCAAGGCTACGATGAACCTCGGGATCGAGAGGAACTTGGCATTGCCATGCGAGGGTACGCGAGCGGCACAGTACTCCAAGATTGAGGCTTCTTGAAATCCTTCCCTGAGATGAACTCGTCTGTCACCGTGCCTGCTGCCTGGAGACGTTTGTTTCAGCTACAATGCTGCAGTCAATCCCGCAATGTTGCAGTCAATCGCGCAAACGAAGCGATTGCAACGCCATCCCTCGCAACATGCTCTCAGGATTCAGGCAATGTGGACTTTTCTTGCATGATCTTGGATCTACATGTGGGGAACTTGCATGAATTCGCTGGGCTTCACAAGGCCATATACTGTGCAGCATCCAGCAAGGGCTAAGGGATTGGCCGTCAACTTCTTGTAATTCTGCAAGATTCGTGGGAGCCACTTTCTCCTTCAAAGAGACTGCACAGAGTCAAGGAAGACTCTTGGAAAGCTCCCTGCATGCAGCTGCCCTGTCCTGACTGCAATCAACATGGACCTGGCCGGGAGCGCTCAGCAGTCGCCGTTTCTCAGCTTTCACTAGTAAACGAATACATGTAATTGTGCCGAAGTAGCGTGCGATCTCGGTCACCAGCGATTGCAGGTGCTGACGGAATTAGCACCTCCAAGACTGCTAAGAAGAAGTCAAAGAAGCCGCAAGAAGTGCCAAGAATCGTGGCTTCTCTTCCGTTCTAACCGCTATAGAATACTAGCAGCCTGCGATGCCAAGGCGGCCGCCACAGCGCGTCGCTGAACGTCCTGGAAACAGACACTAGCAGCATCCCATTTCCCGCCTCAACCGTCGGGCTATGCAATTCCGATAACAATGCAGTTCCTACAGACCAGGGCCCCATAAGTGCCTTCCCCTTCCGGATTTTGGGGCAAGGCCGGGCTCAGCCCGTCTGCCCTCCATACTTGTACACGTTTACAGTTGGTCCTTGCCAGGAACAGTAAGGAAATTCTGGTGCCAGGACGCCAGGCAGCTGCAAACGGCCTCGCAGAATGAACTGTGAGAGCTGAACTTCCACAGAGGCTTTTGTATGGTCAAACTGCAACTATTGAAGAGCTCTGGCAGCCTACGCGCTATACATACCTCGTAGACCCTGGCGACGCAACATCTGCATGCAGAATGGCCACGAGCCGGACTGTAATGCCGGCACTGCTCAGAGCGTGGCCACCACGCAACAGAGCCGCCTCAGAGCGTTCAGACAGCGTCGATCGGACACATGTCGGCGAACAGCAAACACAATTGGGGCTGTCCGCCCGTGTCTCATGGCGATGAGCCCGTGACGCCGCAACTGCAGATCGGAAACCTGTCAGAAGCCATGACAAAATGCGCAGTGCACCGTTGACGGTTGCTGAACAGCAACATCCACAACTCCTTGCAGGCCTTTGGTCCGCATCGATGCGAAGACGCTGGTCGCACTCACCCTTTGGCGAAGCTTTGAAGATGGAATGGCTGCAGATGCACATGAGACATTTCCCTTCTGTGCCAAACACCCTCCGCGAATGAGGAATGCCGACCATGCAAAGCGAGCATCACCCAATGCCGTTTTTCTATTGCCGCGTTCATGGTGAGCCACTAGTTACTAGTACAACCGCGCAAGCCTCTATCAGATAGAAAGCCATCAGCAAGCGGCCAACCAACTTCTTGGCGAAGTTCTTTCGGTGCTGCTCGAGAGCTGCTTAAGATCTGCTGAAGGGGCAGCACCGTGAAGAGGAAGCTGCGCCAGCAAAACCCTCGGGATGAGCTCAGCGGGATGTCAGAGAATGTGCTCTTGCTCGTACCACGTCATTCGCGCTGGGAATGCGCAATCAGCACCCTGACGCTGCTGGCGCCACAGAGGCCCTAGAGGTTGTCGTCGTAAAAGTCCTGTGTGAAGGCTCGAAGCGCTGCTGGGCAGCATGCAGGACATGTGATCTCATGTCATGATGCAGGAAGTCCAGGTTCGGGAAGAAGCCATGAGTGTGTGGACCGGGATAGAGCGAAAGCTCCTGACACACACACACACACACCAACTCTCGAAGAATGCATCCAATCACAGGCACAACACTGCACCCATGAAAAGAGAGAAAGACAGAGAGGCTGCTAGTTTCTGCTCCTCCTCCTGACCAGGAAGCAGCGGAGCTTGCACGTCTGGCCCCGCACAGCTGATGACTAGGCTGGAGACCTCACCCGAACTTCGTAATCAATCCGCTGCTACTTCTATTTTCGAGTGACATCGTGTGAGGCATCTTCTGGGTGATCCAACCCCAAGCAGGCAGTAGTCGAGGAGGGCACCGAGCACCACCTAGAAGAGGCATGTCCCAAACACACGGAGCTTTGGAGGTTTCAAGGGGAGCCACCTCTGTGTGCACTTCCAAGAAACGAAAAACCTGATACATCAGTCAAGACCAGAGATACAAAAGAATGCAGCAGGCGACCATGCAAAGCCGCACTCCTTGACTGAGACCCGGGCTTGGCAGAAGAGGAATAACCAGCAGAAACCGACGCCACAAATACACACCCACGTCACCAGGAAGCGGTAAGCCTCATCTTCACAGATATCCTCTGCTCGGCCCGGCAAAATTCAAGCTCTGCTGGCGAGCGTCTGTCATCAGCGAGGAATCGTGGAGCCGCCCCCCCATGGCCGCACACATTGTGATGGCCATGGGCACGAGCCTGGGAAGAATGGACAGGGCAGCCGAACTTCAGGATCCCTGTTTGAGGCGTGGACGCCACCAAAGCTGCCAGGAGAAAGATCCATCTAAAGCAGGGCAAGGCTGCAGCAAATGCTTTACGAAGCCTCTCAAACATGACGGCCTCTGCTGTGCCTGACAGCGTGAAATCAGCAGTACGAGTGCATTGCGTTTTGCAAACCCGGAGCCATGTCGTCAAAAGGCTGCCTTCGCCAGTTGGCCCAGGTACAGTGCCAGGACCTGCCAGTGCATCTGACACTTGCAGCGCCTGAATTTGTGAAGCTTACAAGCTTTGTTTGCAAAGTAAGATAGCTGGCGTGCCATGGAACTAGACAGGAGCGACAGCTTAGGCACGACCCTCCGCCACCTAACATGGCTTTGGCAATAATTCAGCACCATCGGGAGAACAGCTATCACTCTGCTTCTCAGCATTCCGCCACTCTGCCTCTACGGCAGGAGCCGATCCCGCGGATGTAGCTACTATGGAAAGCAAGTCCTGACTGGCCCATGTTTGGTGGCTGCCTGCGTGACCCAGGCAGCCATCAAGGCGGCTGCTGAAGATTTCCGCTCCCGGGCCAGCGTGCTGATGTTCAGAAGCCTCGAGAGGAGCCGAGTCTCAGAGTCGTGGAGGACGCTGTACAAATGCCCTCCATGATCCTGCCAAGAGGCAAGAGGCATGGTACGAAGGCCCGACCGAGATAGGCGATGTGGAAGAAGAGCCGCCTCAAAGATCACACAGGAAATCACCGATTGCCTCTTCCAGCCGCTGGCTCCAGGCTCCTGGGGCACGTGCTGTGTGCTGCCGTCGGCCTCGAAGGCCTCGTAGGCCTCTGAGATGCCGCACGCCATGGCCTTCATGGCATGTCATGCGAGGTTTCAAGGAATCACGACGAGGACGGGCGCCATTGCTTTTTCAAATTCGGAGCCGAGCGACCAGGTACAGAAGAGCAGAGAGTCCAGTCGTAGCGCCGCTGAGCAATTCGTGCTGAGCAGCTCGCGAGCTTTGCGCGGTACAGTTTGCTCGACCCCAATGCATGGTGGCCTTTGGACAAGGCGTCCGATGCTAGGTCGAAATTCATGCAAGAACTTGCAGCGCCTGCGCTGCCATCAGGCCAGTGGCTGCCCACTCCACCGTGGTCGCTTGGGTGAGCTGCTCCTTCACGAAAAACCAGGGAAGTACATCGACACTGCTGACTAGCTGTTCTCTTCTATTCGCCTCCATAGCAGCTTGGCACTGCTTGGAGACATAGATGCGCTGTCGGCTCGCTAGAGCTTTTTGCTCATGTGAACAGGTTCGGCTTCGTTTCAATGCCATCGAAGAGATGTGGAAACAGGAAGGCTCTAGAGTCTAGAGCTTTTACAAATTCAGATTTCGCTGCAGCGACATGTTCTTGACTGGGCTTCTAGCATCTTCTAGCTGAGCTGGCGCCACTAGAGCATCAGCTGGGCAGAACGATCGCGTCACAGGTGCCAGTGACTTTCCGGACATTAACCTTATCAACTGCATCAGCGGAGTGCAAGTCTCACTCTATCGGACAGAATCATACATAGCCTTCAGTGGCCTGTTGTCAGGTCAGGGTCTGCCTTAATGCACAACCATGCACAAGCAGCAGACTAGCATCGTGCGAATGAATGATCGAGAAGCTGCCGTGGGCTCGGTCTGCTTTTACCCAGCTTGTTGCGGACATCTCTGAGTAATTGGGCACGGGCTGTCTTTGACGCCGTTGCGCACCTGTGGCCGGTTGTGCAGTGAAAAGCATCCGCCAGAACCTGCGCTGCAGGCTGAAGATCGGGTCAGCATAGATGCGAAGCTGCACCGTCCCTAAGTAACATGTGGATTGCCAAAGATGCTCATGAACAGTAGACAGCGGACATGAGCCGGCTCAATACACTTCAGTGCCATAAATACACTGACATCTAAAAAATCAGCTGCTTTGAGAGAGGATGCTATTGGCAGGCTCACCGAAGAAAAGCGGGCCCAAAACGAGTGCCTCTTCCTGCGCCTCAAGCAGTGCCTGAGCCGTTCAAAATCACGCAGGTGGTCAAAGCCGACCGTCCAGCATGGGCCACTCGCGGGCAAAGGCTGGCAAAACATCCATCGGAAGCTCTCACGATATATGAACGACAGATGACCAGAAGATCATTACGAATGTTTTGCCAAAAGGCAGCTATCACAAAGCCATTGCTTGGCAACGGGTTCCTGACAGAAGCAGCCTTTTTGAGCGCCTCAGCAGTTCCAGCACGTCTTGAGAATGGCTCCGTGCTGTTCACCGCCATCAGTCGTGTCTCTGTACGAGCCTCCCTGACAGTGAGACTTCATCTCTTAGCAGCCTGGGCTGTTTTCCAGGTGGGGGGAAGTGGAGATAATGTAACAAGCGACAAGATTCGGGCTACCCCGCTCCATCACCGAAGCTGCTCCAGGAAAAAACGATGGTCAATGTCTATGCACTTAGCACATAGCCGTCTTGGCACAGAGGTCCCTGCAAAGCAGATACCACGGTGTCAATTTTGTGAATCATCTGCTTCTTGGCAGACTTGTTCACCAAAATTTGCAAATGCTTGCTCGCATTCAGCCACAATGCCACATCCTCCGCATCCGTGACATAGACCCCTCCTGAGTGAGGCCGCGGTCACTGCACCCTGCGGCCTCCTTTTTATATAAGATGCATCCAGAGTCTGCAAAGCACTGGGTACACACGATGACACTCCAGTACCCAGGCACTTCACAAGGGTGCTTCCTTTTGGTTTTATTCAAAGGCGATATCACAGCCTGCTCTGTCATGGTGGGATCGTTTATGATGGCTCCAAGGTGCTGCCAGAGAAGTCCGCTGCATCGAAGAGCAAGTGTTTAGATTGCAGCGATGCCTTCATCGAATCGTTGATGCCTCCTCCATTCACGCGAGGGCAAAACATGGAAGAAACGTGGGATCTGATCAATTCTAACAAGTCGGCCTGGCTGCGATGCAAAGGTGGGCGACAAGGGAATGTATTCCTGGAAGGACAGATGTCTAACCCATGTGCTCTTATTACGCCACGAAATTGCTTCAGCCGAAGCACGCCCTGCAGCTCTCCACCAAGCTCCATGAGGGCATTTGTCAAGATGCGCTCAACTTCACCTCAGTGGTCGGCTCAAGCACGAGTAGCTAGAATCTAGAAGTCTGACAACTGCATTGGCAACCAGCCACGGGCTGCAGCTGTGACTGCCAAAACTGATCCCAAAACGGCCGGACGAGCATTGCCAGCAAAACTCCGGATTGCACAGCTGCTGATTGAGACCACTGACACCATCTCAGCAATCTTGATCCAGTGCTAAGTCAAGATGCAGCATTCTGCTGTTGATGTTCCCAAGCCTTTGAGGGTGAGGTTGCCGGCTTCCGGCAAGAGCCAGTCACCAACAGCTGATGCCTGGTCCAGCGGAAATTGGCATATCTCGCAAATGGTCATGTTCCCATGAATCGTCACTGTGCCATAATCTAGAGACAGGAGGGATGTTGTTCGTGACAACGTGCCCGCTACAAGAGTGGCAACGTGCCTCCACAACCATCTCCATGGATGCCTTTCGGCCAAAGGACACCATCGGTGGAGGCCCAGACTTCTCCTGACGCGTTCCGGGCCCGAGCCATGAGGGTAGCTTTGGCAGTCGACTGTCCGACCTGAAAACATGAAACTGCAAGCCAGAAGCCACCTGCTTTGGTGATGGCGCGGGTGCGGCTGTCTCCAAAGGTAGTGGCATGTACCATGTGCCGACCGATGGCCTAGCAACCGCCAAACAGCCAAGCTGTGCAGTGATGGTGCAAGCAGGACATCTTGGAGCTGGCCTGAGAGTGAAGGGAGCGGCTGCTGCTTCCTGATCCTGAAGACACACTGAACTTCTGCAAGGCCGCGATACGCGATCACGAAAAGCTGCCATCTCCCACCTCTTCGACGGCACCAATCAAGTCGCCACCACGCACGGACTTCATTAGAGCCGCACGGGCATCCTCCCGAGCCTGTCGGAGCTCTCTTTCTGCTCCAAGCTACGCTGCTACCAGTACTGACTCACTGACTCAGCCGAAGCGAAAGAGGCCCATTGCAAAGCCTCAGCCGGCTCTGGCTTCGCTGAAGGAGCTGGTGGCTCGACAACATTCACCTTGGGTCGATCGCTTGTAACTTCACCGGGTTTCGACAGGGTCTGGCAAATCATGATAAGAAATACAGTATCACGTCAATTCGAACAAGCCACCGCAGGCTTCTCCGCTGGCTTTTCTGCAGGCTTCTCGACTGGCTTTTCCACAGCTTGCTCGGGAACCGCCTTTGGCTCCTCCTTCCAAGCAAGCGCTCGAACACACGGGACTTGCGGGGCATCATGCGGCAGACAGGCTGAGCGAGTGTTAAGAGCCGAGATGCGCCAGGCACACCGGCTCTCCTTGGAACTCTGAATATACTCGACACGGCATCAGATTCAACAGCATGCTACCAGGCTACAAGCAAGGAAAATCAGACTGTTGGTAAAAAACCGAATTTGCAAACCAGAGCGGCAGGAATTTGCACATGAACTCCACGGGATCTTCGGGCTTCATCCTGAACACTTAACAGCATTAGCATTTCAAAGCTTACAGATGCTTACAGCATCTTCAGAAAGCATGGCGGGGCTTCCGCAGTCCTCAGCAGGGTGCGGAGGCATTCGGAAAGGCGCTGCTCGATCCCATGCTTCGCCAGATACCCCACGGCAGCGTCCTCAGGGAGAAAAGGGCCGCATTTCTCGCGCTGGGCCTGTTGTTCATCCCGTGCAGGCCACAAAGTCGAGACACAGAACACCTTCTCTTCCGCTTGCGGACAGGCGGACAGCAAATAGCATGCAGATGGAAACACGCGACTCGAGACCACACGGAGCACCGAGAGAGAGAGAGAGGGGCCTTGCTTTGCGCTTGGCAGGTCGAGTGTGCTACATGTTCGTCTGGGTGGAGAAGAAAGTGAGAAAAGGAAGGAGGGAGGGACGATTCACCCAGCCAATAAGTGGAAAGCTGTCAGGCTTCGCACGCGACTAGGGTTACAGGACACTGTCATGCCTGCGTATGTCTCTCCCCACCGCCATCATTGCAAAAACGACCACCCCCGTCCACAGCAGCAGTTACTATTGCTGAGGCTGCTGGGGGCCCCTCGAGAAACACGACGGCGACAACAAACAGACCGCATGAAGTGCTCGTGCCAACTTCCGACTGCTGTGGGCATCAAATTCATCAACAGTGGTGCCGGTGACAATTGTGGACGTGATGATGGTGGTGATGATGATGATTTTGTCCACGACGATTGGTCCATTGCGAGGGCTCGTGCTTGTGGTGATGACCCCGATAACTCTCTGATGGCCCAGTCAGGCCTTGGTCTCGGCTTCGATCTCTTGTCGCTGTTTCTGTGTGTCCTCGGCCTTCATCTCCTTGCCGTTTGAGCTGACCTCGCTTCCGCTAAGGCTCGACTTCTTGAATCTGGCTGTGCCTACTGTGCTCACGTTGCCTATGGAAGAGACAACATGCTGCTGGGGAACACGAAGTTTCATGCCTTCTGCTCTGGGATCGGACGAGATCACTTTGACCTGTGCATGGATTCAGACATAAGCCGTCCCTGCAATCTGACTTGAAGCAGTTCTGCCTCATCTGTGCTTCCACATTCCTGAGCGTCACCATTCAGTACGCATGTGGCTGGATGCTTTTTGGAAATTCTGGATCGGTGCCTACAGGGTCTGCCCTGTGCTGTATATGTGTTTCCATGGTCAGACTTAACGCCGCAGACACGGCTCTGGGTCCACCTGCACCGAGCAGGTGCCGACAAGCTGGTAGACATCGATCCGCGCTTTTTTCTTCTCCTCCGGAACGGGGAAGTGGTATTTGGCCGCGTTCTTGTCGAAGCGTCGCCTGTACATGCATAGGCGCCCTTGGAACCACCTTGAACATAACATTATTGTTTCAATAATCTCATGGAGCCTTGCTAATTACATTTCCAAAGAATGAGTCCTAAGGGAACGAAAGCACGTATCTGTGACAGAATGCTACATGTCCGCATGGGCTACCAGTGCATCCTTGTGGCCGCCTAACCCTAAACCCGATTGTTTGTGTGACTTCGGCCAAGGTGCTGCTTCAAGTTGTCACCAAGACGAACGCTGACGAAGCAGCCCTGGGGCACCTGGGTCGCTGCCTCGACCAAGACCTCCATGTCCTTACGAGTTATTGTTCAAGGATGTGCTTTGCCACTGCTTTGCAGACTCCTCAAGCTCTTGCTTGTTCATGCCAAGTGGCTGGCGGGAAATGGCAAATTGGAGGTAAGGTGTGCGAGTCGACTGTTTTGCTGCTCTTGAGCTTGAACTCGCAGACCGTCAGACAGCAGCACGAGAGTGACATGCAGAGCTCCGTGGCCGAAACTCAACCCCCACTCACGCCTGATGACCTCGGAAGCACTCTTGTCTTTGTCAGGTGCTTGTGGGCATTGGCGGTGTCAAGTCACTTCCAGGAATCGCTGAGAAGATCAAACCCGCAACAAGTTGCACATGTCAAGATGAAGTCCTGAAGACTTTTCGGCGAGAAACCCGAAACAGGGCGGCCCGCCGCTTTGGGCGCCGGGAGGGGGGCGACACCGCACAGGAAGCGAGCCTATTCGTGGGAGTCCACGGCCAGAGTAGGTAGTCGACACTCTTCGAAGCTAGCATCTGCAGCTGTGCAGTCTTATGCACTGCTTCGAATCACCTGAAACTTGTCGACGACACATACTCATATCATCGTCAACCATGCCATCTTTGAATCCAAGACCCACTTATGTATCTGAGCACGCATGCATGCATGCATATATACAGTAAGCTTTGCTACTGCACTTATCCTCACATGAAATCAAAACGTCGCGATATCTTCTAGTGTTTGCCGAGAGGTTGCGCTACCGTAGCTCTTGTTAAGAACACTATCTTAATCTTGCGTTCTGCAGTTGCACTACTACACGCTTCGCGAAAACTGCGATCCGTCATTCTTCTGAGCTCTCCAGCGGCTGACACGGTTGTCGATGCCATTCTATCTCTCGCTGCAATCCCAGCCAAGGTTGCCTGCAACTACGTGCATCGCATGTTATCTGTTCTTGTGTGGCAGTTTTGTTATGCATATCCGCGACTGCACCATGGAAGGTTTTTTCTCTTGCTATTCTGGGGAAGGACAGCCGCACATGAGCATGGACGACCACAAAATCGGTACCATCCTTCGGTGTCTGACTTAACTCTGACCTGGTCCTCCCAGACCTATGCTTGGTTGCTATTGATATTGGCTATTGGCATGCGTGCAAAGTAACGCGAGGCGCAAGACAGCTCCTTAGAGAGACTGCCTCTTCCACACGTCCTGGAAAACCAAGCCAATTGATCAAACACCTTGGCCTCATGGCAAACAAACACGATCCACAGAAGAGACTAGAATCCAGAAGACTACTGCACGAGGCCAGGGTAGCTCTAGCTAGAACTTGCAAAACCTTGCAAAAGTGGTTTTTGGCTCCCCAATCACAGCTCGGATCTGGCAGCTTCAGGGCTCAATGTATCCAACAAAAACTTACTCATCCGAGCTGGACCGTGCAAGCTGCCTGGACAGACACTGGGCGACAAGCCAATGTCTGCAACTCAAGCTACTTGCGGGCACCAAACAATTATCTAAACCTGCGCTGCATTCCCAATCTAAGTAAGCTAACGCGAAAGTATTGGCTACAGAACAGATGTCGTTGAAGCTCCACAATAGAGGCAACTGCGCAGACTGCAAAAAAGCCTATGATGGCACATCCTAGAGGGGATCGCGGAGTTATCGATCCTCATGCACCTGCAACAGGGTCTCGGTGGATTCGTGCATGATCCAAGCCGACATAGAGGATGCGCTTTATCCTGGTTTCGAACCTGAGATCCGACATCAAGCTTCGCTTGTTTCGTCTGGTGGCTCTCGGAAGCTACAAGTAGCAGCCAGCAGAGGGAGGTAAAGAGGTACACCTGCAAAGGTTTTACATCAATGGTATAAAATCTGTTTCGGTCGGGTCAGTTCCGTCTCCTGCTGCTGTGCCATATTTTTGACATCCTGATCGGGGTGTGATCGCTGGCGCATTCCGCCCGCTGCGTCGCTGCGATGAAAGTGCAAAGAAGTGAGGCGAAGCTCCGGACCTGTTGGCTTTGACCTGGCCAGACTCGGGGTTCCTCCTGAATCTACCACATTGCTGCGGTTGTTGGCCCATTTCAGCGTTCGTGCCGATTGGCCGTCTACACTGCGACCCTCCCAGACAAAATAAACCGGTTTTGCCCAACAGCACAGACCAACATATCTGTAGTATCCGAGAAGCCCGTGCCGTCCCGATGCAGCTTCGCGTGCACACAGCAAGGCTGAGCATGAGTCATGCCTAAGCATGCAAAAGTCAAACAGCACGCTCGCTCTTGTCTGCATTGCAAGGCCGACGAATGCCGAAGAGGCTGAACCACTGTCTACCAACATCACGTCTACGTCACTTCTCGGACTCTGTAGGAGTGCTACAGCAGCATACAGCTCGGCTGTACATTGCACTGCGTCTGAGCCACGCTTTCCACACATCCAGAGAATCGATCAGTTCGTGCATCTGGCCTCGGCCTCGGATCGAAGGCTGGCCAACCCCGAAACGACACTACCCCGCCAACAAGCCCGTCATCAAAGCACTAAGTATCTCGATTGTGCAAAGACACTCTCTGTGTCTGGAAGTAGCAGCATCTCGTAGAGCTCTTCCGGCGACCTGGTGGAAAGCTGGGCCTTTTTCAGCGTTCTAAAACGCACGGCTGTACGCAAGTGCCACGGTAGCACGTGGCTGCCTGCCAAGTTCTCCAAAAGCGAAGATCTCCACCAAACTTCGTAGTGAGTATAAGTACCTTTCAGGCATCGCTGATGAGCTGTGTCAGCATGCGCCAGTGAAATGTTGTGCTCTTCCTCCTCCCAGGCCTGCTTGGAGCCCCCTTGCTTCAGCCAAGGCACCTGGAACCCGCCAGGCTCCTGAAGCGAACGCAGCGAAAAGTGCTGGGACGCTGCAGTGACAGTGAGGCATGCTTGAACACAAGGTTCGACAGAACGCATAGCAGCCCAGGTTCACAAAGTTCTGGCACCCCGCAATGAAGACCGGCATCATCGCTGATGCCTGGCATGCCAAGAGGGTAGAGCTGAGATTTGTACCAAGGGCGGTGGAGTCGCCCGACCTCTGCTTCTGTGGAGTGGTGGCAGTATCGGTCGATCCAAAGCAACGGTTCCCTGTTGTGAGCCTGTGCCATCGCCATGCTGCTACACTCTCCACATACACAGCGTCGGCCCGATGTCTGGCCTGCTTGAAAGCATCTCTCCAGTGCTGGATTGCATACCACCTGGCGGCTTGCACTGCCAATCGCCGAATCGCATTTTCAAAGCTCAGGAAGTCTCGGCAAGGGGCTGCCAATCGGCTTGGTCAGCCCACGAATACCTTGGAGGATCCACACGGGGTTCTGGTCTAGTTGGCTTACATAAAGGGCAGGTGGTCATGTTGATATCTGACAATCAGCAGACCTTTGACCTGCACCACGCCCAGTTCAGCATGCGGCGAGATGAATGCATCCACAAAGCCAAACTGGGCAGGCTCCTCAGCTTCAATGGCCCTCTAAGTGCATCAAAGTCTTACCTGCCCCCAAGACCAACATGAAGCATGTTCCACAAGCACAGTGTCTGAAAGGGAATAGAGGTGGCCAAGCTCATGCTGGGCCGGATGTAGCAGGAAGTGTTGAAGCAACACCTGGGCAGGGACATAGTCTGCAAGCCGCATCCAGCCATTCACGACATATCGCATATCTTGCATCCAACGGGAACCTAACTGAACTTCACTCAGTTTGATACCTTGTCTGCTGGAACAGCTCCTTGGGACAGGGCTTTCACATACCATCATGGAACGACTTCGAAACAGTTGCGTCGCCAGAAAGCAGGAATGATGGCAGAACAATGCTGTATGTCGAGCCGCGGAAGTTGCTCTGCCCATCATCAATGACCTGCGATGCGTTGGTGAGATTCTGCAAGGGCTTCAGCGGCTTCGGATGACTGATGCTGCACATCAAAGCTTGCCTAACCGTAACTTGCGGTCCATGATCACCGAAACTGAAAGAGCGGCAGAGCGCCTCTTTCAATTCACGTCCACCGAGAAGCTCGTGCAGCCCAGATCCCACAGTGTTCGATCTGGACTTCAAGAAGCAAATCCTTGCACGGAAAGAATTACATAGTGGGTTACATGAGTACACTCCTGTGACCCTTGCACTTCAGGAAAACAGAGTAGCAGCCCTTGGAGAAAAGAAGAAAAGCTGGGGTGGTGACTGTGTTCGACGAAACCTGCAGGGAACAACTGCTGCGTGGCTATCACAAGATACAAGATACGGACAATGCGCCACATCCCCGAAGCTGAGTTAGAGTTGTCAGACTGTGAACTCCCCTCCGCTGATTTGTTCGAACTTCTTTCCCATCACTCACGTGCACATATCTGGACATCCGTGCCCTATCATTGTGAGTTTATGTTGCCTGGAATCATTGGACTTCATAGAACGTTTTTTCTGTGAGGTGTCTTGCCAGGATGCGTGTGAGTAAACTTGCGAGGTTTCTTGTGAGGAGCCGAATGCTTGTGAGTAAGTTTGTGAGGTTTCCTGTGAGAAACCCAGTGAGAAATCGGAGCGAGAAACATGGGTTGTGGGTTAGCTTGCGAGGTTTCTTGTGAGGAACCTTGTTAGAAATGTGTGCGAAAAGCACGGGTTGTGAGCAAGCTTGGGAAGTTGTCGTGAAGCACCTGTTGGCTTTGTGAGAAATTGTGTGCCAAACGCGGGTTCTCAGGAAGCTTGTGAGAGGTATCAATGATTATTATCACCGGGCAACGACGGTCTTGCGTTATGACGGTTCGGCTGCAACAAAAAATGGTGCCCCAGGCACCAGGGCAACATGCAATGTAGAGCCCATTGGATATTTGTCGTCGTTGTTTTGGCTTCGAAGCGGTGCTTACGGTCTGTTGCCGTTGTCGGAGCCTCGAAGTGCTGCCCTAGTGCTAAGAAGTGCGACGCGGGTGCCCAGTGCTGAGAAGTACGCTAGGTGCCGTTGTTTTGGCCTCGAAGCAGTGCCGCATTGCTCAGAAGTACGATTTGTTGCCATTGTTTGAGCGTCGAAGGGGCAATTCCGGTGGTTTTTCTCGTTGTAAGCTCTTGAAAACTCTCGCGACAGTCGGGCCGGGGCAGGGCCGGGGGACAGGGTGGGGTTGCGGCGGGGCCGGCCGGGGATGGCCCCTCTCACGGAAAACCTCGCACCGAATTGGCGCGGGCAAGGGACGGGCTGCGGGTTGGGGCCGCGGGCGGAGTCAAAGTGGAGGCCCTGGCCGGGAGCGGTGTCGGGCCGGCCCTAACCGGGGCCGGGACGCGGCCAGTGCCGATTGGAACCCCCAACCCGATCTCGCTGCCCCTCCGGCCCCGCTGCTTGGGTTTGTGTTGAGGGGGTTTCACGACGGCAACCCGGCTAAACCCGCCTGTGAGGTGTGCTGTTTCGGGGAGGCTGCCGGGAACATAGGAAGAAACCGGACGTGTCGTGACCAGCCCCAAAATCACCCCAAACAATCAGCTGACCGGCCGGAAAGCCGCCCCAAACAAGCAGCCGACCAGCCGGAGAGTTCACACAGATCACTCAGATCCTTGTTCCGGTCTATGGCTGGCATACCGGAGCTGGACACATGTCTACCTCCTGAAGAGCAACAAACTCAACCCTCCCGCCCAAATCCTCACAACAAACCTCACAGCAAGGGGCCCGTCACAGCAAACCTCGCAGGACTTCTTGACCACACAGCCTGTCTTACAGGAAACCTTACGGGAAACTTTAAAAGGATTCTAGTCACAACCCTATCACCCACCTCGGGTGAGCAAGGATGCCACCCAGTAGAGCCATCAGTGCGCCGACCACAATTCCAAGCACATGCGCATACAACCTCGAAATGCAAACAGTGGCACTGGCAAATGCATGTGGCGAGGGACACACACGCACACATTCGCACACACACACACAAACATACAAGACAGTTCATGCGCTTATGCAGGCCAAGACACCCATCCACGGAGCCAGCACTGAGAAGGACAGAGTGTTTTGCCACAAAGCTGAAAACACCGATTGCTAGCCACACCTCAAGCCAACAAGAGCTGATCCTGACAAATCCGATGGCTTCCGCAACTTCTGGTTTACTGAGGTCGGCTCACAGCCCACGGCCGCATACAGCCGTTGCAGAAGCCTGCAATCTAATGCCATGATCTCTCAGACGGCCTCAATGTTAAAGCCTGATAAAGCCTGCAGCGCTGGCCTCACGGCCTCAATTCCGGGGTAGCATATTTGATCGATCATTATGCAGCACGCGAAACCTCAGCCGGACATCTGCAACAGGTGCAACACAACATGGGATACAGCTTCTCGCACAATCGGCGGTATTCCCAGAGCACACAGCGCAGCGCGTTCTGTTAAATGATATCTCGCGCGCAGCCCATGCGAGCAGGAGACAAATGACGATGAGGCCAGCCGCAACGTCGCTGACCGCAACTGCCTCAGACTAGCATCTGAGACGGGCTATGTGGATTCCACTAGTGCAGCAGCCATACCATACGTCGCAAAGATAATGTCTCAGCAGACAGTCCATGTAACAGCTACACAAGGGCCCCGAAACCGCCGCACGGACCCACTTTGCTTATCAGTGCAAGCTGCAGAGGCCGCCCAACACGGCAAGAGCAGATCGTTGTAGATCTGAGCGCAGAAGGTAAACTGTCTGCACAACCGTGTGCACGAACCGACAAGAGTCAGCAAAGTTCCCGTCCGACCTGTGACTGCTAAGATTCCAGTATCGTTTTACTCTGCACGCCGTGATCTTCTATTTTAGGCAAGCTGCGCATCCGTTGCTTCTCGCCTCCAGGCCGGTTGATGTCCCCCAGTGGGTGATGAAGATGCCTGACTCGCTCTCCCCTAAAAACCCCAGTCATGTAGACATGTCTGCACGGGGCATCTGACAAGCATCTCACCCGTCTGTACTTTGGCTTGTGGTGGCTCTACTAGTACTGGCCCGGGCACCAGATGGAAGTGCAACGCAACCAAAGATCCTCGCTGCAGGTCATGTCGAGACATTGATAGGGCACGTACAGACTGAATCCAACCAGGTGGCAGTCTCAAGCAGCGCTGCAGCCTGGACAAGGCTTCCAAGCCAAAAACTGCCCCGCCTTCACAGCAACTGCTTGCAATCCAAGTGGCTTTCGGTCTGCAGGAAGGACTGCCAGAAGCAAGAGCACATTGGCCAAAGCCGTGCAAAGAGCCTGATTTGCGATTGCTACGGCTGCCCAACCGCTGAGGCTCCAGGCATCGATCATCGAGGCGAGGACAAATCCAGCGACATATGCAAAGACGACAGCTGCCTCGGGGAGTGGCAACAGCTTCTGCAGCACATGTGCACAGAATGACAGGTCTTTGTCTTTTGTGGCCAGATTACGATGCCGCGAGGTCGTTTCCATGACGAAGCTAACGCCTACTTATCAACCTAACCAAGCCAGGGCTACGGAACTTCACCCGTTCCAATGTTAACAGGTGGCAACCGCGAACACGCGCCATCGCTGCACGCTGCGTGGACTCATGTTGGCCTCTGCCCCTTTGCAGCATGCCAGTAAAAAGCACATCGCCGAGTTGCTGAGGGCTCAGGATGAATCTGCAGTATGATAAACAGCCTTGGCTTCATCTGCAAATCTCTTTCTAGGAGGCCCCAAGACCAAACCAATAGTGTCAGAGTCCACCCGAAGTTAGCTCTTTTGTCCAAGCGGGAGGCGCGATTGCTACGATCAAGAAGCAACCACCTGCTGTCCTTGGCTATTTAGTCAGTCAGCGGTACGTGCAGCGTCTGCATTCTCCTGGGACTAGTTGCAAAAACATGTTCGGGCCCTCGGAGTACTCATAGGCCCCATAGTAGTTCCTTTTTGGGGTTACCTTATAGAATTCTAAATATGAACCCCAGAAAGGAACTACTCTAGGACCCTAGGAGTATCTATCATGTCCGAGGCTCAAGGTCGGAATCCGAATCCGGGTATTTCTTCGGGCGGCCTGCCAGCAAGGGAAACAGCTCAACTCAGATCGCCTGCTCAGCATTCTCTGCTGACAATGCCCAACGCATTCTCTGACACAAAGGTCTCGGAAGCATGGGCCGGTTTAGGTCCCGGGTTCTATAGGGTCTTAGGGAGCTAGGCTTTGTATCACAGGTGTCATCGCCTCCTGCTCGGCCCGCTGAAGCCGAGAAATCAAAGCAGCCAAACGATCTGCATCCACAGGTCTTGGACCGCTTGGACCTTACGAGGAGGGCCCGAATGAAATTTAGACTAGGCTGCAACATAAATTAAGTTACTCTACTGAGACCCTAATCAGGAAACCCTAGTATTCACTATGTATATCCCCGTTATGGTAACTTAAGTTAAGTTACTAAACAGCAACCCAGTAGAGGAACGGAGCGACATACTGGCCTGGATCTGGTTCCTTACGGCTTCCTTCAGGATCAAGAAGGACAGAGTATCCTGCAGCTCTGATCATCAGTGGCTCCAGAAACTGTGTGTTTTTCGGGCGAAGCCAAGAAGCTGGACAGTCAGGAAGCCAGAAAGCCAGAAAGCCGAAACGCGACGAAACCACTGTCCAACAAAAACCACAAAAACAAGCCCTAACCCAGTGGACTTCCCAAGCAATACCAGCCGTCGGGACACGGTTCCGTGATTGCGGTCCTTCTGCGCTCTCGAAAGTGACGGTGAAGCTTCCGATTTCCTGTCTCAGCCTGGTTCTGTGCTCTACGGCCCTGGAGACGGCCACTAGGCAGCGCTACGCCTTGCTGCTACAAGTAATGTGCCTCTCGTCAGGTTCTGGCAGCTGCTTTTCAGCCTGCGGCCTGTGTCCAGGCAAGTGGCGAGAAGATACTTCAATATACAGCAGGCTGCGCATTACAGTAGCGGATGTGGCAGTGAACACTTGGGCAGGTGATGAGCACCATGAGAAGAAACATTCGCATGAGCAGCCCATGTGCCTGTACCACTGGTCCTGCGAAGAGCACTGTCCAATTCGCCCGCATGCCCCACATGGGCCACGGTCCCACTTTTAGCTTGATTGATACCCCTGTGTCCCGTCCTGAACTGCCAGGACCGAATCATCAATCGGCTCCTCAGTGTCCGTGAAGGCACCTTGTCAACCAGCTGCTGAGAAGGGCAATGCTGACTACATCAGCAACACACATGCAAGACGAATGTGTCCTCAAAGTTTGCTGGCACTCCACTCCACAACGCCGGGAGTCCCATGAACCGAAGCCGTAGCACCAGGCTCGGTACAGAAACCTGTTGCTCCAAATGGTGCTCTGCACCGCCTTGCAGACCCGAGGAGCCGATCTGTTTGGCGAACTTGGGTGCTCCTGTGTGTTGCAACTCTTTCTGTCGCGGTCACCGATACAAACACAAACGGCTCAAATAGCGTTGCTGGCTGCCGATGGAAGCTTGACTGCCGCAAAGGCAGTCCTTTCTTCTCTGGAACGTCCGGATCCGCACCTTGCAGCTGCAAAGGAACCTACCTTTAAAAAAACGCTCATTGCTTAATGCTTATCCATAGCCTGTGCTCAGAACGACGCTGAAAGCTTCATTTGAATATGCTGCTACTGAGATTCGGGCAACAGTTGATGGGGCAATGGCAGCTTGACATGTGCACGTCCTGGCAGGGAGCATGCAGGACACGAAGTCACATCTGCGAGCTTGAACTCTCGTGACTCTAGCGATTTTTAGCTAGTCCTGGCTCGTGAGAACAGCTATTCAAGCTGCTCAGCCCCTCACCGCAATCAGATGTTAATGAGCGGACGCATCAACGCATGTGGGTTGAGTAGGCGGCCCCTTTGTTCAGACTTCAACATGGTGTGTGGCTCCGCATGTTGTGAAAGTTTGGGTATGCTTGTCTCAGCTTCTGCCCTACAGCTCCACGGCCTTGTGCTTCTCCTGCCATCTTGCGAATGAGACGTTTCGAGAAACTCCGGCAAATCTCTGCGCCATTCACAGAGATAGAGCCAATGTGGTAGGCTTTGGAGAGGCTTCGAAAGGTCGCAGGGCCCTAAGTGCAAGTAACAAACTCCTTCGTCAGAGGCGGTGTCTGCATGTTTTCAATTTTCGTCCAGTGCGGCTTCAAGGCCGTGCTGCAAGCAGATGCTTTTCGGAGTGTGCTGTGTGACTCTGTAGCCAGTGGAGCTTCGCGCTTCTTCTCCCGATGGGAGTTGTCTTGACCTTCCGTTTCTCCATGTGAAGTGGGTTGAACTCGACGCTTGCCTTTGGAGCTTCTTTCACCTGCTGCTGCTGAAGTTACTCCCATTTTTCTTCTGCTGAAAAACAACCACGAACACATGACAGAGCTCTTGCTCTGATTCTTCGGCGGTAAGCCGCTCATTGTCTCAACCTCAAACCGAGCAACACAGCCAGACACACAAGTCTGACTTCGTTGCCCTGTTTACATGACCGCTTTTCTTTGAGGGCCAAAACTGTCGGAGTGCTTTGCTTTCGACTGCTCCGGCTCGTACGCCGACCAACCCATGAGCTACGAAGGCCTCACTCTCATGTTTGCATCTATACCCACGATGTGCCAACTTACACGCTGTCTATGAACAGAACGAAGGCTTGTAGGACTATCTTTGAGGGACCAGTTGGGTATGCTATGACCTGTAGTCGACGAGGGGCTTGTTCACCTCTGCTAAACCACCAGAGACTGTATCAAGCAAGTCTATGCTGAGCGCAGTGCTTCGCAGCTGGAATGTCTCGGCCACTTGCTGAAGAATCACATCAGCATGATAAAGGCAGTTCTTCATCTACGAATCAGTATCAGCTTTGGCTACACAGACAGTTCGCCAACTCGGAGCATAAGAGGACATGTCGATTGCAACAACTATACTACTGTTGACAAGCTGTCCTTTCGCGCATTCTTCGCTTGGTATTGGCTCTGCTGTCGATCCATGAGAAAATCCTATGAGCCTCGGAACTGTGCCAGAAGACGTGTAATTCTGGGTTGGGCGACCAGATGCGAATGTCATTGCAAACAGCTCGAAGGTCAACTCTCTTGCCAGACAAGCCTTTTTTCGCTTTGGCACCTGCAGAATCCTAGCTCCATCCGATGTAGCGCATCCTCCCGTCCGCAGCCTACAACTACGTAGCCACCAGTGTGATACAAATGTTCCACCGAGATCCGCTGGTGGATCTCATCTACGTAACCTTTAGCTCATCCCTTTGAGGCTGCGGACGCAGCGGGCGCTGCTTGGTTGAAGTCTTGTAGATTTGCAATGCACTGTCTGCCATGTCGAGCTTGCCAAAGACTGGAGCAGTAGCATGCTTTCTGCCTGCTACGCTGCTATATGCTCCTCTTCGTTGCTTTGCTGCAGTTTGGAGGTGTCTGACTACTTGTTGCGAAGCATTCCGTTGGGCACGGTGGGTCAGGTCAGATTCTGCGATCCGCGCCGCACAGCAACTCAGTTCGATGGCTTCTCAATCTTGTCTGCTCGCTTCAGGATGTCCTGAACAGGCGATTGAGCTGATGACGGCGTCAAAACAAATGCTTCAGGTAGATACAGTTTCTGATCTGACACCCTAGTCACACATGTCGGACAATGTGCAGCCACTGTTCGTGCCTGAAACTTCCGGATGTGCTCCAGGAAAACATCGGCGTGTGGTCGCTGCGGCTTCTGCGCGTTGATGTGCACCTCACAGGCCATACCAACTGGCATTAGTGGGCGTTCCTGCTGATGGCTGATGTAAGCAGGTCTGGGTTAGAAACCATGTCTCCGTCCAGGTAGAACTCCACTTCACCACAGGGGTTCAGCTCCTTCACTAGACTTGCTGACGCCGCTGGTTTATGCCTTTTTTCATGCTACCAGAGCTGCTCGAGATCGGGTGACTGAATCACTGAAGGTCAAGTACATCGTGAAACTGAGGCTGTGGCACCGTCCAGCGGCGTGCCAACTCTCTGATGCACCAGCTGTCGAGTCTTGTGCATGACCTAAGGGATCTGCAGCAAAAACGGCGACTTTCCCAAACCTCCTTGGTCCTTGGGAGAGAATCTGGGGCTTCAGGCGCACATCAGCTGGTCACGGAGACCCTCTCCGTCCATCTCGCACAGCTGGGCCAGCCTAAGCTAAGGCCATGTGGTCGACGTGGCCCCCGAGTGAGAGCGCGCGTTCTCGTGTCTCGGGTACGCACTTGGAGGTCTGCAAAGACGTGTAGAGCTTCATGTAAGAGCCAATCGTTGGGAGGGCTTGCTGCTGCCTCACCTCCCATTCCATGTTGCTGGACCGGGCATACAACAGCGTCTTCTGCACGACCGCAGCAACCAGGCACATGTTCACGGGTCTGCAACAAATTGCTTGTCGCAGCCTTGCCTCTTGTAGGAAGAGAGTCAGCTGCCGCTGGTGCGCTTCGTTTGCTGTAAAGTTCTCCAGATCTCAGCCGACATTTCAGGTGTCCACTGTGCAGGGAAATTCTACATGTTGCACTAATTATGGTGTCTAAGGGCATCGCTCTCAAGATCCGGCATGGAGGCCGCAACGAACTTGGGACATGCGTAGGAGAACAAGTCCTACAGGGCAGAGCTAGAGCTGGCCAGGTGGACGACCCTTCTAGCAAGATACTGTGCACTCTTCGCAGAGTCATGCCAGTGCTGAGTCTATTGCGAAAGCTTTTCTACCAATGCCTTGTGGTTTTCAGGTCACTGCGCCATCCGTTGAGTCAACAAATAAGCAAATAATGTATTTAATATAGTATACTAGAGTGTCTCGGCTTCGCCCTTCCCGAGGCTCCTCGAAGCAAGCTTCATTGCCCTGCTGCAAGCGCATCTGCTTATCTGCAGGGCATCAGAGCACATTGGCGTAGTTCGGTTCACTCTTGCGCTCCGGCTGTCTGTAACAGCAAAAGTCTTGAATTTCCGCCTGCGTGCTTTTCTCGGATTGGCTTTTCGAGAGATTCGTCCAGCGGCTGGGGGCAAAGAGCATTGCAGATCAGCAGCAGGACGTACATCTGATCCTCATAACCGGTGCGATTTGACCGTGACACGACCACACATGGCTCTGCGCGCTTGGTGCAAGAGCGAACACGGTTCACGTGCCTGCTTCTTCAGCATTTGATCATACTGGTAGGACAGCGAATTCACTGTGGAGATTTTGGACAGGAAGACAAGAATGTCTTGGAATGTGCGGGATGCATCCACATAACGGCGCATCATCATGTACCTCGCATGGCAACATGAACTTGCACGGCCACTCGCACAAAAGCGCACCACGGTCCAGAATGCAACAGGAACAGGCGCACGCAAAGCCCATGTAGTAAAACACTGTGACATGGCAAGCCGGAATTCTGTAGAACAGCGGCACCTCGTACAGGTTCAAGTACAATACAGCTTGATGCTCCACGTGCAGTTGGCTTTAGCGTGCTTTACGGCATAAAGTCCCAGTGCTGCCGGAGACAGGCTTTGAACGTTTCCGCTGAAGCTCTTCAACGGCATCATCCGACTGGTAATTACCATATTCTGGATTGTTACAACACACAGCGAGATGCTTAGGCTTTGCTTGCAGGCTTAGATTGTGGAGCCGCTTGGGCCAGTTCCACTTCTTCAGTTGCTGCGGCAGCGTCTTTGCTTAGCTCGGCTCCTCCCTAGCATTGCCGCCCTGCCTCTGCTCGGAAGTCGATGTTCTCAATCGTCTCCTGGGCAGGATGGCATCAAGCGTCTGAGAATGCGCAATATCGTTTTCGGAATTTACACAAGCACCCCAACCCGCCCAATCCGGAAGTCAATCCTGGCAGCTTTGCTTTTGCCTGACAGGCACCCTTGCCGCCAAGCGTCCATTGCAAGGCGGTAGTCCCCGAGCAGGCTGTGCATTCGCAGCAGCTGCATCAGGGCGAAATATCCGATCAGTCGTGTCGACTCGTCCTGGGCGCTCCGCAAACCCCAACTGCAAGGGTGCCAAACACAGCCATTCTCATAAGCTCAAAGCTGTGAAGGCGGCACCTGCAAACGAAAACGAGCCACGTCCGCGACTTGACACTGCTGCACTTCCAGAACACACGACATGGCTTGGAGTTTTCCATCCGCCTTGTCCATTGCCTCCATCTGGATTGGCGAGCCACTCCTCAATCAACGAGTAGCGCACAAGCTGGTGCAAGTAGCTGAGGACCTTTCGGGAGCATGGCTGACTGACTGATGCAAACGAAGCTGGCGTCTCATGCTGCAGGCCTTCGTGGTCTCGAAGACAGCAGGGTTGTCAACTAGCTGCTTGACATCTGCTTCCTGCATCGCTTGAGCACTTCGTGCAAGATCATCCTCAATCTGGGTTTCTGCAACACATGGCCTTCTGCAGCTTGGCCGCCTTGTGGCAATACGTGCTGTATGTCCTGCCATCCACACACAGAACTGGAGACGCAACACCAGTCTTTTTCATGACAGTGGCTACTGTGACCGATGGTTACTTGCTGAGTGCTGGTCTGATAGTGGTACACAAACTCGTCCAGGATGTCCCACAGCCATTGCGCCGGAAGCGCAATCCCGAGATCCTCCCGTTGACTGGTGATCGCAAGAGGTTCAACAAAGCCACTTTGTCAGCGCGATTTTGCTCTAAGCGACCATTTCACGTTCCGTCACTTGCCTCTCCATCCGAGAGGTTCTCGATCATCAAATCCAGGAGCTGGGTGTAATTTTTCCAGGAACCAATTCTGTCCTGCCAAATGCAGCCGCGTGCTTAGAGCCGGGGCAAAAACTGTGCGGAGACGACGGAAGTGATCAGGTCGGCCCGTCCTCAAAGAGGACTGGGTTCAGTCTGGCGTAGATATGTCGGTAGTAAAGCTCCTTCGCAGGAGTTGGAGTGGCAGCACAGCCGGAAAAGGATGGCGAAGCAAGTCCTGTCCTTGTAGAGAATCAGGAACAAAGCCTCCCCATGTCCGAGAGCGTCTGCGACGGCATAGGCACTTGGCCACTTCCTCTGATCGACAAAGAGTGGAAGGCTCTGCAGTGACGTGTCAGGCCAGGCACGGATCTACACAGGCGACCCCAGTTGATGATGGCAAGTCTCGTCTTGTTGTAGTATTTCTCGGTGAGCTGATTGAAATCTGTCTCCTTGGCTGCATCAGTGCTGCATGTGAGAATAGCTGGCAGAATTTCGTCAAAGGCTCCGTGCTAACAGCTGGCTTGGTTCCACATTTCACTGCTAAGCTTGGTGACAGACCACACCGGCTTAAGGCAGCTAAGGGTCGTAGAGCCTGTTGATGTCGGGAATGTTGCTGGACCTTTGCACAGGCTAGGTCACTGAAGCTCAGAACCTCAAGACTTGAGTTATGTTGATCTCGCTGTGGTTCGTCTGTAGGAAGCACTGATTGATCCCGTAATAAGCTCAGTACTTGATCGAGTCAAGCAGTCCTGAGTTGGGCAAAGAGCGGATCTGTCCTGAAACAACAGAAAAGGCTTTTCCGGAACCAATGATGCAGCTATGCGGCTTCCCAAGAAATGATCCACTGCATCTGGAATCACCTCCACAGGCTGACCATACATCCATTCACATGCTGCAGAGGTTTGACTTCTTATCTCCAGTGACTTCAGTGATAGCTCCGGGCTTTCATGCAACATCGGCTTCAATCCCCTTGTTCAGTGTGGCTGCTTCAGCTGTTCTTGCCATTAGGTACCGGGTCTAGTCGAATGAGCTCATCATGATTTTCAGAGCTCTGGTCTTACATCATATTACATGACTGTCTCACGGAGGGCGGCTTTCACGCATGCTTTTTCATACCATTCCCACTTCCTGCTCTCTATGCTACTTTTGCATTCGCTCTTGATGCTGCTCCCACTACTCCTTCTATGGCTATAACTACGACTTGTAATACTACTACACACTACTACTCTTACGAAGGAAAACACCGGCACTACCATTAGGACTACTACTAGGCTTTCGTCTACTTCTGCATCTACGTCTTGATCTACTGCTACTATTAGCACCACCCGCATCACCCTATGTGTACTTCTACTCCTGCTGCTGCAGCTGCCGCTCCCACTGCTATTGATTATTGTTCTTCTTTCAACAGAAGACGGCGACCACCGCGACCACAACCATCAACCAATAAGCGCTGCCACTTTTTGTTGCCATTACTTTCCATTCACGCATAAAATGGTGGTCCAGCCTCGGCCTTACGCTGGCCCTGACTTTCCTCGATGTCGCTCCCCTGCCGGCCATGTCGCAGAAAGCACTGGAAACACTGCTAGTGCACAAATACTGGCTATACCTTGGTTGTTCATCCGCCCAGCCTCGTCACCCATGCTGAACCTCATGGAATGGGACAACAAGAGCGTACTCACAACACTCTCAGTCGAATCAGCTGCCGTTGCTGAGGTCATGACCGGATACAGGCTCTTCTCAGCCAACTGCTATCTTCCCACCGTGCAAAACTTGGGCAAAAACGTGGCCGCCAGCAGCAACGTCGCGAAAGTGCAGCATGTGCTCGACATATGACATGTCAGTGCTGGCATGCTGCGACATGATACCTATCCCAGTGACAATGTCTGGTGTTGCTGTTGTATCGTCGCTGTCCAGAGTCCAAATATCTACAGTAATTGAAGTAAATCATCCTGAGGCTGTGACAATGCCTGCAAGTATTGCCTGCTAGTGCAAGACACATCTTTTCCTGAACATTCCCTCCGCATCGAAACGCTTCGACCCTTGCGGCGCCCTGATCAAAGCGCAAGTCTAGTTTGCATTGAATCTGGCAGCGGTTCGAAGGCAGCATTTGGCTTGGAACTCGAGGGAAGAAGCTGCGCAGGGAAACATCGCGTCGGGCAGCCATCACCGCAATCTTGCTTGCACCTTAGAGCAGATGGCTTGGCGATTTTGGGTTGCATCAGTTCCTCACGCCCTGCGGCTTAAGAGCTATCTCTTTGCTGGGCCGAACCGGCCCTCATCCTGAAATAACCAATGCTTCAATGCATGAACGGCGCACAGAGTGAGTCAGAGGCACTTTGTGTCTTGCCCTTGCAGTTCGCACCGGCCCCAGAGAGTGGTCGTCTTGATCCGGCACTGGCCACGGCCAGCGCACTCGTCTTCAACGTCGTTCGCCAAAAGTTACTCATTGTCGACAACTTCGAAGCCGCTCACGCCGCTTCGACGCTGCCTTGGTGGCAGAACAGTGCTTGAAGGCATTTTCCGAAAGCGCTCGACAAACTTCTACGACTAGAAGCTGTCAAGCTCAAGGTCCTGACACCTCCAGTACAAAGAAAAGCAGCATATAGTACGATCGATCTCAATTGCGATTGCTCGAAAGTTAGCATAGTCGGACCAGCTGCAATGGCGTGTTCACCGCTGTGCTCTCATGTCAAGAGGGCGAGCTCCTGGCTGGTGAACCTGCCCGTGGGGGACCGCATTGACTTTTCACTCAATGGTCCCTTGCAACTTTTGTTAAGCCGTTAAGCTTGCTGGCAGACCCTTATCCTACCCTCATGACGGTACACGTCTGAGGCAGGGACTTCAGTGTACACGTGATCCAACTTCAGAACTAGTCATTGCAGCAACTGACTGCCATCCAGCTACGAATGCATGTGCTCCACCCACCGTCGAACATTCGGATACCTTGTCTTCATGCAAGGCTCGCAATGCGACAGGGGTGCGATACTCATAACTCAATGCCACTGGCGAGCTGCGTGGACAGGTCCTCGTCAAGTATGGAGTTGATTGCATGCAAATCCGCCATCGAAGCTTCAAATCCTGTCACCTTCGGTGGCATCTCCAATATATCAAGTCATCCACAAGTTTGCCGAACGCAAAGTCCCACTGCTGGGATCTTGTCTTGCAGCTGCGTTGCATAGGGGCTGTGCAGGAGCTTTTCTTCAAGCTCCTCGCTCGTTCGCAACATCCCCTCTGCAGCGAATGTACTACGGGCATCATGCTCGCAGCTGCAATGCTCCTGGATGCGACTGAGGCTTTTGGGCTTCGGCTCTCCCTCCGTCACCGGCGCCTGCGAACTCATGTTTGATGCATCTCACGCCCACGCTGCACAGCACGATGCACGACAGGCTTTGTCATCTGTGCGCTAATGCGTACTAGCTAAGCTGGCAGTCTTGCGAATATCCACATTTCGCATTGAAAGGATCCCAGAACCCACATTCCATCCTCCTCCCCGCCAGTCTTGGGAACAGTGCCGACTTGTCGAGGTGCGCGTACAAAGGGCAGAAAGTCAATGCCTCCTGCAGGGCGTGCGATTTGCTTGATGAGCATCCGTGAATGCATGGCTGCAACACCGATCACCCACTCTGACAGCAATAGCAACCCATCCGAGTAGCATCATGACCTAACGTTGAGTCCTGTAAACGGAACAAGCACGCTGGGAATCCGAACACCTTAGCGAGACAAGGCCAGAACACCAGGGGCAAACGCAATATTTCTAAGTGATGCTTGCTATTTCCGCTACTCTTGTGGCAGCTAATCTAGCAGCCAATCCCTGAACAGTGGTTGCCCCGGTCAAACTGTCAAATCACATTTTCCTGATAATGTTTGACTGCTTGCCCGCTCGACCACATCGCGGCTGAAACAAACTCTATACCCTCCTTTTGAGTGCCGAACCATCGGGTGTCTGGAATGCTTCCTCGCAATGGAATAGAACTAATGCCGATGCACAACACACAGAGCGCGAGGGCAGGCGCAAGTGCATAGTGCGGCCAAGCCTCCAACATGCAACACAAGCACCTGCCTGAAGCTGTCAACGTCGAGTTGAGCATGTGCACGTGGCGCAGACGCTGCTTGTCCTGCGACTGCCACACCAAGCCGACGATGGCAGGTGCTCAGACAGGAGACTCCCAGAATAAATTCATAATTGAGTCCTGAGAGTCTGCCGGCCGGTATCGAATGTCAAGGGCTCTCGACTGGAAGTCGGTGCAGTTCGAGCAGGAGACAAGCTCGCGGTACTGGCCCTGAAGACCAGGGGAGCAGCAAAACGATATCGGCCCCTTAACGGCTTAACGATCTGACATGCCGGCAGCCTGCCCTGCAAACCATCCCTCCAGGTCATACTTCATGGTGGCCTCGCAAGTCATCGCAATATGGGGCCCGAAAAGAAAGCCGCTGAGATGCAGAGTCGTTGCTGAGCTCCGAGCGGCATCGTTCAGCTCTCCAGACACCACTTTGACAACGCCTCGAGGAGTTCGCAACTACCACTGCAGTTACAGCCTACTACGGCCGCATGACGCAGATGCCCAGCAAAAGGTGGCCAAGGGTCGATATGGAATCTCCAAACTTTGGTAGAATTCCTCCGCGCAGCGCAGCATCTCCGAGTGCCTGGGCTTGTAAGTCGCAGTGGCAATCCTCGTGCCAGGTGTGTTAGATTGATTATGTGTGCGAAACCTTAGCCTCAAATCAAGTCGCATCTCCCCCGACAGCTCAGGATCACCAGCAGTGATACAAAACTGCTCCACCTTCTCGAACTGATGCACGCGGAAGATTCCTCGATTCTCCCTGCCAGCTTTGCCGAGCTCGGTCCTCCAGCCAGGATTGTGCTTTCAAGGAGATACCTCAAGGACGTGGGACAGTGCTCAAAGCCGGGTCCGAAAGCAAGTGGACACTCCAGCATAGCGCAAAGGAAGCGCTTCTGCATTGAGCACCTCTTTCCTGAGCTTCAAGTCAGTTTGATGAATGAGCTAACGACATCTGACGATCACACTCTAGGCCGCAATCATCCGGTCGTAATGGGAGCCAAGGGTCGCATGGAAAGCGCACAGCGGCTGCTCCGATGTGGCGATCAGATACTGCAAGGGCCAAGCTTGAAACACTTCAGCTGCAGTGGTGTTCCGGAGATCCGGCTTGCGGGATAGCTGGACGTGACTGGAGGCATGAGACTTTGACTCCCAACCTTCTCCACCTCTTCTGTGGCATCTCCTGCTGCACACGGAAAGGCGACGTTCCCCGAACCATCGGAAACACATTGTGTTCCTGTCCTGGCTCTCCTTTTGTAACTTTGTACAGCTGCTGGTCAAAGTCATCCAGCTGAGCAACTCCAGCCATGAGGTCCTTCCTTGTGTCGAGCAGTGTTGGAAGGTGATTTCCCACCTCACCAACGTTTAAAGCGGAGTTCTTGGGCCAAGTCTCCTCATGAAATAAGGCGGCTGCACAGCTCGATACCCACCTCAGGCAGTGTGTAGGTTCACAACGATGCACGACGCTCTGACCACGGTAAACTTGATGCAGGTAAAGCAGCGGGCGCGAAGAAAGGCCAGCCCATAGCTAACCAGGGCTTGGCTCAGCAGAACCCCTGCAAGGACTGCAAAGATATCCAGCTTGCAAACTGCATACTGATGCATTGCCCGGCCTGTATCTTCAAGAAAATACCCCCGGCTTCCTGACACTTCCCAAACTGAGGAAGGCACTCACACAAGTGCAGGCCAGTCCTGCAACCTTGCACCCGCGGTCCGGGTCATAGCCGCCAATACCTCTGCAAGCCACCATAAGTAATTAAGTACAGCATGGTACAGCTGTAACACCGGCTCTGGCTACAAGTAGTGTCTCCCTGCAGACATTTCACGCCATAGCAGATCGTCATGGCTGAGAAGCCTCCTGCCAGGACGTGCAACTTCTGCACTCGGGCCGTGGGGCAGCATGGATCAGGAGTTCCCCATCGCAGCACTTGCCAATCATTTTGCTTGCCCTCAGAAGTTGGGCACTCAGATAGGAAACCGTCAGCAGGAGATCGAAACGCACGTCCTCCCAGAATCATGGCTGAGATGCTCCTCAGGAAGGTGCTTCATCATTCTTGACTCCCCAAGAACGCAGAGAAGCAACGCGTCCTCTGGGGACGCAGACGGCCACGTGCTCATGACCTCCCGCTCAAGTAGTTGGCGTAATCAAGAGCTGATTCAGATTTCAGATGGACGATGAAGCGGGTGGTCGCCAGACTGTTTGCATCCCTGATGGGCCTCATTGTCAACTTCACTCTGCGAAGTCGGCACGGATAGATCCACAAAGTTGCCTCATTTGTCTTCGCAGGCTAGCAACCACGTCCTACAGCAGGCTGATGCCAGCTGCTTGCGAGCTGCCAAGCTTGCCAAGCGCTGCATCTCGCTTCGTCTCACACTGTAGTGCTTGCAGCCTGAGGTTGTGCAGCATCGGCTAGTGAAAGATGATCAATGGAACAGGAGAGAACAGCTGCAACATTGTCCACTCCTGAGCAATCTGCTGCATTTCATGTGGGCAGCTGAGCCGGCAACTCTAGCTCCTTTAGCTGTTCTCGAAGTAAGCCGGCTTGCTTGAGCTCCGCATCGCAGGCTTGCTTACGCTTCTTCTTCTCGGCGATGACGTCCTTGAGGCGCCCGTGCAGAATAAGAAGCAGGGGGTCAATTGAGAACACAGTGCAATGTGTGTGTGTGGCATGCGCTCCTTCTGCAGCTTGTTCAACTGCGTTTGTAGCTCCCTTGCACCTTTGCTGTGCGCCACAGGCCACAGGCTGTTTGACAGCACGATGCCCGTGCAGGTTGCCTAGAATGCTTGTTGCCTAGGCGAAGCCCACCTCCTTTAAAAGGCACCCGTGTGAGTGTGCAGTCGTCACGGTGGTGAGGCTGTAATTGAAGATGCAAGCCCGAAAAAACAAGCCTGGCTACACCTCTTTTCGTGCCGCCCGGTTTCAACTTGTGCTCATGCACCCCAACAATTCAGACGGTTTACGGGCTCAAGTCCGTAGTCCGTTAGACTCTGAATTCATTGCCGTCGTTCAAGAATATCATGCCGCATCCGAGTCGCCGTCGGTCTACGCCACCAGCCCCAGGAAAGCTCAATTCTGCTCGCCGCTGTTGGCTGGATTAACCGAAGCTTCCGTGAAATCTGAACACGCACAAGCTCAGACCCACGAAGAAGTATACCTTTTGTTCAAGAGCAGCGGTCCTACACACATCCTTTGGCGAGCTGCAAGTCGTTTTCTCCCGCCAAGACCTTGGCTCCGCTGCAGTGACAACGGGTGTCGAAGCTCCTACTCTGTGCCTGGCTCAATGCTTGTAGGAAGGAGAGTCCTCCTCTGTGTATTATCCTTTCCGAGGCACTGGTCTAGCTCGAGCACGTCGTCCACGAGCCTGATTGCTATGAGGGGCAAAACCTAATTCAAGTTTGGAGAATCAGCGGGTGCAACTGTAACTCTGTCTTTTGAGTTCCACTGCTCCTCCTCCTTCTCTTCCTTCTGCTCCCATTCCAGTTTCTTAATTCTATGACGACGACGAGGATTAACAACAACAACAACAACAGCAGCAACAGCAACAGCAACGGACAAACCAATAAACAAAACAGCAGCAACAACAACAACAACCACCACAACCACAAGGACAAGAACAAGGACGAAGACAACAACGATAATCACAACAACAACCACCACACAATCACAACCACAACCACAGCGAGAGCGACCGCGACCGCAACAGCAGCCACAGCAGCAGCAACAACAACCACAACCACCACAACCACAGCAACAACCTCACAACCACAACCACAGCAACAGCAACCGCGACCGCAACAGCAACAGCAGCCACAGCAGCAGCAGCAGCAACAACAACAACAACAGCAACCACAACCACCACAACCACAGCGACCCAACCTCAAAACCACAACCACGACCACAGCGACAGCAACCGCGACCGCAACAGTAACCGCAGCCACAGCACTAGCAACAACAAGAAGAACCTCAAAAAGAAAACCACAATCGATGCAACTAGCCAGCAACAACAAGCTCGAGCACAAGCACAAGCAGAACCAGAACCAGAACCACGACGACGACAACAACCACAACCGACAGCAGCGGCAGCAGCAGCAGCAGCAACAGCAACGGCAGCGGCAGCGGCAGCGGCAACAGCAACAACAACTACAACCCCAACCCCAGCCCCAACACTATACCAACACCAACACAACAAGAATAAACAAAAAGAACGCCAGCAACAACAACACCAAAACCACCAACAACAGCAACAACAACAACAACCACAACCACAACCGCGGCAACAACGATAACAACAACACGCTGCAACAACAACGACAACGCCAGAAGCGAGAACAACACCAAAAACACCACCACCACCACCACC